GGACCAATAAACACCACCAAATGAAGAAAAGATTGAAATTGTCAAAGACTTCATTTTTCTTGGATCAACCATCAATACTCATGGAAGCAGCAGTCAAAAAATCAAATGCTTTATTGCATTAGGCAGATATGCTACACAAGACCTTTTTAAGGTGTTAAAGAGTTTGAGGACTAAGGTGTACCTGTCGCAACTCATGGTATTTTCAGTAACCTCATATGCATGAGAAAGTTGGACAGTGAATAAGGAAGACCATACAAGAATTGATGCATTTGAGTTATAGTGTTGGAGGAGAATATTGAAAGTGCCATGGGCTGCCAAAAGAACTAAGCTACCTGTGCTGGAAGAAGTACAGCCAGAATGCTCCTTGGAAGCCAGGATGGCCAGACTTCATCTCTCATACTTTGGACATATTGTCAGGAGGAGCCAGTCACTGAAGAAGGATATCATGTTTGGTTAAGGGAGGGTTAGAGACAAAGAGGAAGACCCCTAACGAGATGGATTGGCACAATGGCAGCATCAACGGGCTCAAACGTAGCAATGATTGTGAGGTTGACGTAGGATCAGGTAGTGTTTCGTTTTGTTGTACATAGGGTCTCTATGAGTTGGTACCAACTCAATGGCCCCTAACAACAACAACAATGTTGTTGTTAAGTGTTGACAAGTCAGTTCTATAACCACACTGTATAGAGTTTCCAAGGAGCAGCTGGTGGATTTGAACCACCGACCTTGCAGTTCAAACCAACTTTGTGGTACAGTACTTAACCCACAGTTTCACACCAGTACTTCACAACAATGATGGTTGGTGATTGTGTGCTGTTGAGTTGGTTCCAAGTCATAGCAACCTAGGTTTGTGAGGCTGTAAATCTTTACAGGAGCAGAAAGCCTCATCTTTCTCCCACAGAGGTCTGGTGGACTCAAATTGTTGACCTTGTGGTTAGCAGCCCAAAACATAACCCACTATGCTATCAGGGCTCCTTACAATGACAATATGTGGTAATAATAAATCACTTGGAGTCCTGGTGTGGGCTGTAGAATAAGCAGTAGACCACAAACCACAAAACAGGCAAGTAAAATCAACCTACTGTTCCTTAGAAACCCTACGTTGTTGTCGTTAAGTGATATGGAGTTGGTTCTGACTCACTGCAACCCTGTATAGGGTTTCCAAGGATCAGCTGCTGGGTTTGATCTGTCAAACTTGTGATTCAAACTAACCTTGCAGTCCAGTGTTTATCCTACACTGGACTCCTAGAAACTTTATACAGGGTTGCTATGAGTCAGAACTGACTCGATGGCACTCAACAATAGTACTTTAAGGGACGTGTGATGGTGCTGTAAGATTAGCACTGGGCTGCAGCCCACAATGTCATAATTAGAGCCCACCAGCCACTCTGTGGGAGACAGATGAGGTTTTCTGCTCCCATAAAGATTTACAGCCTCAGAAACCCTGTGCAGGGTCGTTATGGGTTGGAACCAACTTGATGGCACATAACAATACATAGTACTTTCAAGTTTATGAAACATCTCATTTACTACTCACAGCATAGTGAAGGAGTGATGTCCCCATTTGTATATTTAAAAAAGACAGGAGCCCTGGTGCAGTGGTTAAGCACTTGACTGCTAACAGAAAAGTGGCAGTTCGAACCCACCAACTGCTTCACTAGAGAAAGATGTGGCAGTCACTTTTGGCAAAGATCACAGCCTAGAGCCCTGGTGTGGCACTGTGGGCTAATGCGTCAGACTGCAAAGTCATTTGAACTGCAAGGTCGGTGGTTCAAACTCACCAGCAGCTCCTTGGAAACCCTATACAGGGTCACTATGGGTCAGAAACAACTCGATGGCACTTAACAACAACAACTCTATCCTGTAGGATAGAGTATCATGTTGGAGGAGAATATTAAAAGTACCATGGAATGCTAGATGAACAAACAATCTGTGTTGGAAGAAGTACAGCCAGAATGCTCCTTAGAAGCCAGCATGGTCAGACTTTGTCTCTCATACTTTGGATAGATTATCAGGAGGGACCTATGAGTTGGAATTGGCTCCATGGCAACAGAAAAGACAGGTTCAGAGAGGTTAAGGGATTTATCCCAAGGTCTTGTATTCATCAAGGAAAATGTTTTCCTTTGATGAAAGTGAATTAGAGTGACAACACTATTCCAGGAGTCAGGGAGAAGATACAGAAAGGAGGAGGATGCACAAAGAGATGTAGGTGCAGGGGGCTCCCTCAAGAAAACATCATCTTCTTCCACCTTTACACAGACCAGTCCTACTTGTTAATCCCTTAGCAAACTTCCAGGTGGATTTTTTAGATTTGACTAATATCGGACTTTCAAGCCTGGATGGAACCTGAGCTGAGAAAGTGAGGTCCGCCTCAGCATTTGAGTTAATCATTTATTAGAACCTCCTTAACAGTTGTCAGTATGTAAACACCTGGACTGTTTCTGCTAAAACCCGGAGCCAGGATGTCAGGTTGAGCAAATATTTGCTAAGCAGATAGAGTTCCTTTGTGGAATGCATTTTCTAACACGTAGCTTGCAATTTGCTAGGACTAATATACGAAACCCTGGGAATTGGCACATTTTCAACATCTACCCCCAAATTTCTCCTGGTCAAGTCAGTCAAAAGCGGGAGTTCTGTGTTGAATTAGCTTCTGCTTGTTAGCCAAGCAAATGAGCTGAGAAGACTCCAGCTGTTTCTTGTCCAGGCTAATAAGACGGGAATAGTAGAGTTACCACTGAGGGACTCCCTAGCACAGACCAACAGGCTATAATTAGGATGCTCTCTGATCTAGGAACTCATTTGGTGCCCTGGGAAGAAGAAGGGATCTAATGAGAAATAAGCCCTTAACTAGCAGGGAAAGAATGAGGTCTTTTATTATTTTCTTCTTCTGGTTACTGTGTGTCATCGAGTTGATTCACAGCAGCCCTGTATGACAGAGTAGCACTGCCCTATAGGGTTTCCTAGTTGTAACCTTTACAGGAGCAGATTGCCAGATCTTATCTCCCAAATTGTGGCTGGTGGGTTCAAGTTAGCCACTGAGCGCTTAGCCATTGTGCCACCAGGGTGCCTTAAATCTCCTGTATCAGTTCCCAAATAAGAAGCTCCATAAGCCCAGATAATAACTGACACCATCATCTAGTGAGTATCTATGTACAATGTGTCAGATACTTCTCTGTGATGGTTCCAGCAAAGTTGGTAATATTTCTGCTTATAGATAAGAGAAGATCCCTGGGTAGCACAGATGATTGTGTTGTGCTCTATTAATAACTTAAAAAGGAGCTCTGGTAGCGTAGTGGTTACAAGTTGGGCTGCTAACGTCAATGTGAGCAGTTTGAAACTACCAGCTGTTCTGCTGGAGAAAGATGAGGTTTTCTGCTCCCGTGAAGATTTATAGCCTCAGAAACCCTATGCAGGGTCTCTATGAGTCAGAACCGACCCCACGGCACATAACCACCACTAATTTAAAGGTTTGTGGCTGGAATCTACCCTGAGGGACCATGGAAGAAAAGTCTGACAATAGTCCACAAAATATATTGCCAAGAAAGCCCTATAAGCAATTCTACTTACACATGCCATAAATTGGAATTGACTCTGTAGAAACTGGTTTGGATAAATAAGCAAGCCAAGGCATAGAGTGGTTAAGTAACTCACCTAACGTCAAACAGCTACTAAATGATGTGTAATTCAAACGCAGAATGACTTAAATAATGACGAAAACCTCATTCCATTATGTGACGAGCTTCAAAGAGATCATGGAAAAATTCCATTATCTTTTATTGACATTTTTTGAACGAACTTTTTGAAGCCCCCTCATATAAATATATATGTATATATGTATATACAGAGAGAGAGAGAGAGAGAAATCTCACCATTATTTTATTAAATTATTATCTGCAGGTAACACGGTAATGATATTAGAAGTTGTGTCAGTGGTAATGTTGTCCTGTGAACCCTATAAACCAGTTGCTTTTATTCTGGAATAAGTTCATTCCCTGGAAATTTTTATTTGTATGAGTTGTGAATATTTTTTGTATATCTTCAAATTATCAAAAAGTTTGTAATTCAAATCTTTTGCTTTAAGAAGGGATGCATTGAACTAGCTCCTGACATACAGGGTTTCATCAGGTTAATGCAGAGCGGGATAATGCGCTGGACTGCAAGATCAGTTTGAGCCACAGGGTTAGCGGTTTACACCCACCAGCCGCTCCTCGAAAACCCTATATAGGGTCGCTATGAGTTGGAACCGACTGGACGGCACTTAACAACAATAATGTAGACATACAGGAGAACTTTCAGGGTAGAATCAAACTGGTAGTTAGCATTGTATATTAGGTATAAGGCAAGAGTTACATATAGTGCTGGGGTGCTTGGGTTGGGGAAATGGAAGGAGTCTTATGTCTTAAGTGAAGTTGGAAGAAATCATCAACTCATTTGTCTAGGCTGGTTTCATGGAGAAGGGGAAATTCAAGATGAAAGGCACTCACACTAGGCGTATATTACTGGAACATTCAGAGAAAGTATAGAGTATAAACATGAAGGCAATACCTCAATACTTCAAGAAGAGAAAACGCACATCCACAATCAGGATCTTGAGGTACCTGGAAGATGGTAGGTTTCAGGGATCTTGAGCTGGCAATGGCTAATCTGAGATTCCTGCAAGACACTCTTTCTAGTTACCTCTTCTCCTTCCTTACTTTGAGTCCAGTCCTTTGGCCAATCTACTTTTCCACACCCTGTACCACAGAAAGTGGCCAGGGGTCCCTCATCAACACCTGGGAGAAGGGCAAAGGGGCAATCAATCAGACAACTTTGAGACTGGAAATGGGATTTAAGATTCTACTGAATGGCAAAAGGAAGAGTGGATGTGCTGGGTCTCTTTTCAGCAATATCTGTGCAGTGATTGACTCTGGATCTCTGGAGTCCTGGGGTCATGAGCGTGTGGTCAAGAGCTCTGCTTTTCTACTCAACTTCAAATGTTTGTTCTTGCTTTTACAATTTAGAAAAAGGATCCTCCAGCTGTAAACTGCGCCCAGCCTGCACAGACAAAGACTATTTCTACACACACACAGCCTGTGATGCCAACGGAGAGGTGGGTAGCAAGGTTGGGGCGTCCCTTTCCCCTTGCTAGACTGTCTCCCCTTCCTGGGACTTTAATGCCCTTTGGCATTCCAGCCGTGAAAGGAGCTGGCACCAGAGCAAGCTCCACAAACCCCACAGTGACCCCCGAGCTGTTGTGTGTCTTAGTATTTTAGCACTGCTGTAACACTAAGTGGGGGACTTTGGAGAACAGAAATTCGTTTCCTCAAAGTTTAGGAGGATAAGAATCCAAATTCAGGCACCGGCTGTAGGGAAAAGTGCTCTGTCTGCTCTGGTGAAAATCCTTGTTTCACCTTCTCTTTCGAGCATCCCTCCGTTCCTTGGAGATCTCCACGTGTTATCTGTATTTCCCCCATTTGTGCTTACTTGTTTCTCTGCCTCATCTTTTAATATCTCAAAAAGTGATTAGATTTAGGATAACCCCCTACACTGGCATGGTCTCCTTCATTAACATAACAAAGAAACCCCAATTTCCAACTGGGATTATATCCACAGGCATTTAGGGATTAGGATTACAACATGTATTTTTGAGGGATGCAGTTCGCTTCACAGCAGTGACTGAAGCACATCAAGATGGTCTCATTCATTTTCTGGTCAGAAGCTGCTTTTGCGGCATTCATTTTACATGTTCATATTCCTATGGTCTCTAAAAACCTCTTATTTTACTGGGTTTCTTTCATTTGCTTAGTCATTCGGGTCAAGCACCTGCTTGTTCCCGTTTTTCTCCTGGTGCTAGTCAGCTTTGTTCCCTCAGTGCTGCTTTTGTGAGGCAGTAAAGGGAATGATTCTCACTGGAGAGTGGTTGGGCTTCTTCAGCCTCTGCTGTTTCTCTCTCCCCAAGACTTTCTGCCTCAGAAGATGTTCCCGTGTAGTTAGAATTACCATTGAGTCCACAGTTGTTGAATGCCAGCTGATGTGCCAGATGTTGTTCTCCACGCTGGGGATTCAGAGGTGCCTCAGACAGATTCCTGCTCAGGAGGGGCTCAGAGATTTGTGGGAGGGTGAAGAGAGGAGAAAGACAGGCTCACAAAAACCACATCTGGGCAAAGCCAAGGCATGAGAGGGGTGTGCTGTCTTTGCTTCCTTCTGCTCCATCTCTCTCTTCCCAGACTCCAGCCAAGGCCTTCTAAAGTGATACTGTGCTCTATTGTCTGTAAGGCTAAGCACCACAGAGGCCTTTAAGTGCTTCTTCCTGTGGCCAAAGCCAGTTGTCCGGCCTTGCAGCCCAACCAAGCCTGTCTATTTCAGGAATGTTCATACATGTGCATTTACCAGGAGAACCTTCCAGAGGTCTCAGCTTTGTACCTCAGGCCCACACTGGTTCTGCTCAGTCTTGTTATTTCAGTTTGTCTTCAAAATTGTATTTTTAAAAATCAAGGGACACTCCTGAAGCTAGCGTGTATGATTTTCCCCTGTCCTCTCCTGTGAATTTAGCTAGTTGATTGGGGCTGCCGAATGTGCTGTTCCAAGAGGCAGCCCACCTCAGATCTGCAGATCCTGCTCACAGGAGACTCACAGGAGACAGACAGGGCTTAGGGAGCTCTGGCCTCTATCCTCTTCAGAGGGAAGAACATTGAGCTGAGCCAGGGGAAGGAGCCAGGGCTCACCAGCAATGAAGTGACCATGAACCAAGGACCCGTGTTCACTAAGACTGTGTCATCTCTTATCCTGAATAAAATGACGGGTACAGTGTCGTCCATCATCCCACATGGATGTTATGCTGCACAGACAAATCTCATCATCAGCTCAGTGTAGCCCATAAGATTTTTGTTGTTGTTGTTGTGTCTGATTTCATTCAAGGACCACCCAGGAAACTTGGAGCTGCCCAACTTCACCCCTAACTCACCAGGGGTTTCCTGTAGGTCATCTCTTCTTCCACACCCAATGCCTCTATCCAGAGTGAGCTCCTTGCAGGCAGGGGCCATGTCTCATTCAGCTCTGAGATGCCAGGTCTGGCACATAGATGTATTACGCTGTCTATAAATAAATGAAAGATAGGAGACAACTTGAAACCTCTTAGCTGTCCCATCCATCTTTCCCAGATTATATAAATCACTAACACTCTATGCTTTTCTGTGTTACGGCTACCTGTGATCTTGGTAGTTATAAGAGTCTACAGTGGACAACTGGTCCTTCCAATTTCCTGTGTCACATGAGTCCTCATTAGTTCTAACCCTTTTCATCCAGTCAACATTCACCCCAAAGGTATTAATTGAGCACAACCTTGTGCCCAGCACTGGGTTAGGGACTTGAGATACACCCAAGACCAAAATAAAGTTGCCTGCCTTGGTAGAGCCTTCATTTTAGCCCAGAATTCTGCTCCCTTTACCCCATCTTCAAGTTAGAACCCTAAAAATGTGCTAAATCTCACACAGGCTGAGCTGTACTTAACCAATTTCTGCAGACACAACTCATGTACAAATGGGCTGAGCCAAAAATCTGCAGTGAGGATCTTGAGGGGGCAGTGAAGCTGCCTGCCTCTGGCGTGAAGACCCTTTGCCCACCCTGCAACCCAGGCTTCTTCAAGACCAACAACAGCACCTGCGAGCCCTGCCCCTACGGCTCTTACTCCAACGGCTCTGGTAACCCCCTGACCTGCACTGATTCCATGCCCACATCACCCATGGGGCAGGCTGTGTGGGCCCTCAGAGTGGCCAACTGAACACAGACTCTGCTCTTCCGAGGGAGGCAGCTCCTAACCTTGCCTGTCCTGAACTTAGGTTCAAGAGAGGCGAGGTCAGGAGCTGGTCCTGCCTATTGCTCAAAGTCAGACTTGAGAACTGTCTACCTTCCTCCTCTTGCTGACTGCAAATGTAACTCAGGTTTAAAGTTACACAATCCTTATAACAGAGACTTCCACCATGTGGTTGGGATGCTGGCTAGAAGGTTTGGGAGACTGGTCGACCCAGTTAGAACCTGTAAGCTGTGTAGTGGAAAAACGTTAGGGAGATTTGTGTACCTATTAGTGGGAGTACATTTAATGATAATGTGACAAATTATATAAACCTCATGTAGCAAACTAGTAGATGTATTTAAGTTTTGAAATGAAAAGTTTAGCGGGCACATTAGGGTGGTTGGAACATTGAAATGAAGGGCCAATGATTATGTCCGGAGTTTGTTTAAGCACATTGCCAGAATGTTTTTTGAGTGAATTTGAGGTAACTACACTGGTCCTCAGAACCGCCTTGGTTTGGCTGCTCACTACTGTTACCACTTGTCCGTGTAGCAGCAACTCCACTCGGGGGCTGCAGCCTTTCTGCTGAAAGTGTGGGTCTTGTGGTTCCCTAGATTGTACCCACTGCCCAGCTGGAACTGAACCTGCCCTCGGATTTGAATACAAATGGTGGAACACACTGCCCACGAATATGGAGACCACCGTTCTCAGTGGGATCAACTTTGAGTATAAGGGCATGACAGGTAATTTCCTCGCCCATGCCTGTGAACCATCAGCTCCCTGCACACCCCATCTTTCAACTTCGTATTTCTTCAAAATAGTCATGTCTGAGAAAAATAAGTGAATCATGTCGTGCACTCCCATGAAAGTTCCACCTATCTTGTCATACAAGTGGGCTTCAGAAAGTTTGGGGGGCGATTCCATTATCTTTTCACTGAATTTTTCCACGAACTTTCTGAAGTCTTCTCAGATAGTCTGCCAAACCTCCATTTCCGAGGCCGAGACAGAACTGGAACCAATGTACACGTACTCCAAAAGACTTGTTCTGAGAAGTTCAGAGTCTTCAGTCAAAGCAATGGGATAGATAACATTGTTTGTGTTCAGCAGTAATTCTGGACGCATCAAAGGATGGTGCTAGCTCTACCTTCTAGAGGTGGATGCACAGCTGGCCTGCATCGGAGAGGCACCAAGGCATTGACTCTCTCCGCTCATTTTCCAGGCTGGGAGGTGGCTGGTGATTACATTTACACCGCTGTTGGAGCCTCAGATACTGACTTCATGATTCTTACCTTGATTGTGCCGGGATTTAGGTAAGGAATACAAAAGCACTTAACAACAGCAACAGTTAGTTGGCCATATGCTATTTGAATTCTTCCTCCTTCAGCATCAGATAGAATAAACAAACAAAAAAATGTATAGGGTAAGAAGACTAGGAGGCATTGTTCTTATTGTCATATTTGTCTTCATATCCCAAAAAGACCTAGGACAGCAAACCATCTGTCTTTTTATTATTATTATTATTATTACTACTACTACAGGCAGTGTGGTGTGGTGGTGGAAAGAGCACAGGACTGGAAATCAGGGCACTTGAATTTGACCACTTGCTGGCTTTGTGAACTTGGGAGAGTCACTTTGCTTTTATAGAGTTCAGGTTCCTCACCTGTAAGACAAAACGAGTGGATAGTCTATGATTTAGGGTTAAGTCAGGTTGAGATGATTCTTCTAGCTAACATTGGTTAATCCAACTGTGTAGAGAGGAGTTGGAACTGGAGGTTCTCGAATCCAGGTAAATGGCTGAAGCCAAAAGAAAAGCCAAAGGCAAGAGTGAACTGGTCCATCTGTGTGGGCTTAAAGACCAGGAGGATCACTGACTGGGATCCCCTATTGACAAGTTGACTTCTCCATTCCTTCCTTCCTGCTCCCCTCTAGTATGGTACTCAACCCATGGTAGTTGCTCAAAAGGTATTAGTATCCTTCTTTTAACTCACATCACTCAGAGCTGACTATCCTGGTTTTGCAAGATAAACAAACTTTTTAGGTTTTTTTATTTTGTAACATTACAAAAAGTACTTTTCAACTTTTTGATTGAAAAGTGATGACCAGAGGAAAGTGCTTCCCCACTCCTTGGGCATGGCTCTCTCTTTCCCAAAAGGAGGACCTGCTTGAGAAGTTTGCTGGAGAGAGAACAAGTTGACATTTCTGTTCATTGAACCTAGGTAAACTTCCCACCATCTTGGAGAGTGAACTGCCAAGTAAATGTAGACAGTTAACATCTTATGAATGATAGTGATGCTTCTCAATGGTTTAATGTGCATAGGAACCACCTGAGAATCACAATATAATGCAGAACCTGGTTTGGGTCTGGGTGGGGCCTGAGATTCTACATTTCTAATCAATTCCCAGTGACTGACATAGATGCTGCTGGTCAGAGAGAGACGCCACTCTTGGTCACAAGGTTTTGCAGCATCTTACAAAGACTTTTGTATGGGTTATGCCTTTGGATCTCACCACAAGGATGGGAGGGAGATAAGAAAGATATCATCATTTCTGTTTTACAAATGAGGAAATTGTGGTTTGTTTAGATTGAGGTCACATAGCTATGATTACAGAATTGGACTTAGTTCACATTCTTTCCATTATACTCAGCCCAATCCTGACCTCCAGTAGACACTTTTCTCTTGTTTGGGCTCTTCAATAAGCATTGCCTAACCCAAGGAACTGACTTTTAACCTCTGCCCCCACAGGCCACCACAGTCTGTGATGGAAGACACTGAGAATAAAGAGGTGGCCAGGATCACATTTGTCTTTGAGACTGTCTGCTCTGTGAACTGCGAGCTCTACTTCATGGTGGTACGTTCTTTACTTCTCCTTTCAGGGGAATTTCGGGAGACTTTGGGGAAGGTGGGTCCATCTGTCCCATTATGTGTTAATATAAGTGAGAACCCTGCTTGTAGTGATGTTGCAGTGAAAAGGGCCCAGAATGAACACAAGAGAATTCAGTTTGATGTGGGTCTGTGATCATGCCCAGTGTGGCTGCAGTGTGGACACCCTGTCCTGCCTCCCATCATGCCTTCTTCACTTGTCTGTCTTGGGATCAGGGCATGAATTCCAGGACCAACACTCCCGTGGAAACATGGAAAGGCTCCAAAGGCAAACAATCCTACACCTACATCATTGAGAAGAACGCGACCATGAGCTTCACTTGGGCTTTCCAGAGGACCACTTTCCATGAGACAGTAAGTTCCCCACTTGCTTTGGACTCCCAGCTCCTAGAAGAGACCCTGTGAATCTGAGTAAATTAGTATAAGAGTGAGTTTGAGGTTTGGAATCCAAGTATTAGATGGACCTTTAGACACCAAGCAGAGAACTGCTTAACTTGGCCCTCAGCGGGTCATCTAGTCTCACCCAAATGATTTCCAGGGACAGTGACACTTACCTGTCTATAGCAGCCCCTACCCTGAGGACACTGGTGCCTAATCTGGTTCATCCTGTTGTTGTTTTCAATAATATCTAGTTTGGATTTCGTTGTTCAAAGTAACAATTTATTGAAGAAAAAAACCCAACACTTAAAAATAGACTAACCAAGAGGAAATGAAATCACCCTTAATCCTACCACCTAAAGATAACCCATGGTTACGAATCGGGCTGCGAATCTTAAGGCCAGCAGTTCGAAACTACCAGCTGCTCCGCGGGAGAAAGATGAAGCTTTCTACTCCCGTAAAGATTTACACCCTTGGAAACCCTGTACAGGGTCGCTATGGGTCGGAACCGACTCGATGGCACTTAACAACAACAACAAACATAACCCATTGATATCTGGAGTATCTCCTGTACAGTCTTTGTTTCTCTACTAATACATTTGTTTTATTTTATAAGGAAAAGATCAGCTTTTTTTCATATAATAATATCTACTGAACGTTTCCCTCATGACACTTAATATACATCATTTAAAACCATTCAGTCTTGTTTTTAAATGTCATAAAGATGCATACAAAGAGGTGTTGTTAAGTGAGTAGAATGAGAACGCATCTAAGATTTTTCTCAACTATCACTGGATGAAGGAGCCCTAGTGGTGTTGTAGGATAAACGTGGGACTGCTAACCACAAGGTCAGGAGCTCAAACCCACCAGCTGCTCTGCAGAAGAAAGATGAGACTTTCCATTCCCGTCAAGATTTAGAGTCTCTCAACCCCTACAGGATCACTATGAGTTGGAATCAGCTCAATGGGAGTGGGTTTTTTGGATTATCCTAAAGGCTGAAAAAGATTAAGAAGTATTTTGCTATTTCCAGATTTCTTGATTGTTGCTGATGTCTCAGGTCTCAGCCCTCCCTCCTCTTGTTTCCTCATTTCCAGGGCAGAAAGTACACCAATGACATTGCCAAGCTCTACTCCATCAACGTCACCAATGCCATGGATGGGGTGGCCTCCTACTGCCGTCCCTGTGCCCTGGAAGCTTCTGACATGGGCTCCTCCTGCACCTCTTGTCCTGCTGGCTACTACATTGACCGAGACTCAGGAGCCTGCCACTCTTGCCCCTCTAACACAATCCTGAAAGCCCACCAACCTTATGGCATCCAGGCCTGCATGCCCTGCGGTCCAGGGACCAAGAGCAACAAGGTGCCAGCAGTCTTCCATGCATCCTAGCCTTGGCGCCTCTGGTTGAATCACTGAGGGTGGTCCTGAATGGGTTTCCTGAGGGACCCATACCTAAGAACTCCCCATAGTGTACTCCCAGGTCAGTGTCCTGTAGGACACTAGCCATACTCTGACAGTGGATGGAAAGTTCTTAGCTGTAGAAATTGACTTCAAGGTCAAGGCTACAGCCATGACCCAGTGTCATCTTCAGAAGTTGAGTAAGGGAGTTCAGGGACTGTCTACTCCAGAGGGTCATTTGCCATCTGTCTGCTCAGGGATCTGAAGAGAAGGAACCATGGTGGCTGTGGCTCAAATTCAACTTAGTCCAATCCAACCTATTATCATGGGAATTTTTTCTTTCTCCTTTGTTCAGGCATGTGGTTAGTTGATCTTGCTGTCTTCTATTCCAGTGATTTCTCAACTTCTCAGGTCTACAGATCCCTTTCTAACGTAGAAAAACAATGCTGTTACCCTGTGTACCTTCTGCCTCTAGGAAAGTACACATGACTAAAAGTACTTATGCTTCATGCTTTTAAATTAATTTGTATTTTGCTGATCATAACTCCCTGGAAGTGCATTTGAGAATCCTTGTTCAGACAGTTAAGGAGCTCTTGTAGTGTAGTAGTTACGAGACGTGCTGCTAACCTCAAAGTCAGCAGTTTGAAACTACCAGATGTTCCATGGGAGAAAGATGAGACTTTCTGCTCCCGTAAAGATTTATAGCCTCAGAAACCCTATGCAGGGTCACTATGAATCAGAACCGACTCCATGGCACATAATCAACAACCAGTGCATACAGTCTGCAAACTATGGTTGGTACAGCTGTGCAATAAATGCAAAATTTCTGCAAACCCTTAGGAACCTCTTTTGGGTACCTGGACTTTTTCTACAACCTTTCTTCTCCTGGAGCTCCCTCTGCTGCTTTGAAGGGGAATAACAGCTGGGTAAGGCTGCTGCTGCTGAGGGGGAAGTGTAGTTGTTAAGTGCCATCGAGTCAGTTCAACTCAAAGCTACCCTGTATAGGGTTTCTGAGGAGTGGCTGGTGAGTTTGAAACTGAGTGCATATCCTTCAGCGCCACACCAGGAAAGGGTTTTGGGGAAATCAAGATGCTTTGGGAGTCCAACTTCCTACAGTGAACCTGGGCAAGAGGAACAGAGTTCAATGAAATTTAAACCAGAGAGGGTCATTCAGGGCTTGTAGTTTCTATTCTGCTGTCTTGGGCACCTTTATATCTTTGTACCTTATTGTCTTCAGCTTGAAGTAAGAAGAGCTATCTTGTATCTTGAGTTGCTGTTAGTTGCTATTGAATTGGCTCCAGCCATAGCATACTCACGTACCAGAGAAGAAATGTTACCTGTTTCTGTGCCATCTTTACACTCATTGGTACTCTTGAATCCATTGTTGCAGACACTGGATATTTTCACTGCCTTCCAACCTCAATGGCTCGTATTCCAGTGCTATGTCAAACAATGTTCTATTGTGACCCACAGGATATTTCAATGGTTGATTTTAGGAATAGACTTTTCTTCCTAGTCTGTCTTAGTCTGCAAGTTCTATTAAAACCTGTGCACTATGATTGACCCTGTGGTCAATCATATCAAATCAATATGCAAGCCATCACAGTGCTACAAACTGACAGACGAATGATGGTGTGTCTTGAGGATGTTCTTTCTATATCTTGGACATACGGATGCTGTTGTCACCAAGCTTGTCAAATTTAACTAAACTACTACTGAAAACTAGCAGGTTTGTACATCATATATGATGGCAAGCTGTACAAAAATCTCACTAGTCCCTGATTTACTTCTTTTAACGCCATTCCAAATCCCTACTTGCACCCCATTTGGGCTGGGCCAGGCTAGGGAAGATAGCTGATACTCTTTACTGTAGCCCCTTGGGCCCCACCCCCCTCTGGCTAGCTGTCCTGACCAAGGTCTTCTCCACTCAGATCCACTCTCTCTGCTACAACGACTGCTCTCTCTCGGTCAGCAACTCCGCCAGGACTTTAAACTACAACTTCTCAGCTATGGCAAGCCCTGTTTCTCTAGCTGGAGGGCCAAGCTTCACTTCCAAAGGGTTAAAATACTTTCATCACTTCACCCTCAGCCTCTGCGGAAACCAGGTAAGGTGTGCAAAGTCTGACAGGGTAAGAGTTGAAAGGGGCTGCCAGAGGCCAGAGACAACGCAGAAGAAAAACTAGGAAAGCCTTTAGGCAGCAGGGGACTGAGAGGTTTTATATTTTGTTTTTTTCGAGAATGATTTTTTCCCCTAAAATTGTGTTATTTGGATTATAGACATTTAGGATATTTAATTTTAAATAAGATATTCATTTATTCTTTTATTTTATTTTATTATTACTTGTATTTTTCACAAGTAGCATGCATGCCTATGTAAATAACATGCATATAGGAAACTAAAGCTCTGGGGTGTCACACAGTTTGTAAAAACATATCATGTGAGAGTTATTTGTGCAAAATATGGTATAAAATGAGTATATAAAAGTTTCAAAATGAGTATATGAAAACTATTCAGTAGCAAGGTTTGCTTTTTTTTTTTTTTTCTCCCTTAAAAAAGCAATCTGGTCATCCAATCGGGCACTGTCATTTGTTTTGTAGAGGTTAAATAAACTGTTATAAGTGCACCTGCATGGATCTTTGCTGACAGTATTAAACAAGCAACCTGAAAGGCTTTATTAAGTCAAGGCAGGAAGTTTACCATCAGTTTTTCATGTTGCTACAAATATTTTAGATACAAGATCCCTACTACAATTGACTGAAATTACAAAACAGGCCACAGTTAGCAGTTGGAAAGTTTGGTTTAAGTGTTACAAAATAAGAGTGAAGAGTCCATGGGTGGTATAAACAGTTAAGTGCTCAGGTAACAGAAAGGTTGGAGGTTGGAATCGACCCAGTGGTGCCTTAAGAGAAAGGTAGATCTGGCAAGCTACTTTGGAAAACTCTGACACCAAAACTGTAATGGAGTACGGTTCTACTCTGACACACCAGGAGTCAAAATTGACCCCATGACAACTAAATACTCAAAATCCAAAAAAAGTTTGATTTTTTGGGGGGGGATTTTGAGTGTTTAGTATGGAACTCTGGGTGGCAGTAAGTCCTTTAGACTACAGCATGCAAAGAAATTTGGTTTGTGTTTATATGGAGAATGTGTCAAGATATTCCATGAACATTTGGAAGATTATAAAGAAGTATATCTATGTTATTTTCAGAAGTCTTTAAGATGTTAAAGTGGAACCTCAGAGATGGCAGTTAGCATTAACTCCTGAAATGAGACTGATAAAAAAGCAAGTCCCATCTAGTTGAGTTAGGAAAAAGGTGAAAATGAGGAGTTTGGGGGAGATTGTGTCTTTTTTCCTTTATTCTTTTCAGTACAAAAAAACGAAAATAACTCCTTTATTCTGGTGTAAAGATTTCCTTCTGTTCTCATGTTATCTATCTACTTCTTACAATCTAGGAGACAAAAAACAGAAACAACAGACTTAACAAATACATAGCTCCATTTGTAATAAAAATTATGACATTGAAAAAGTTATGAATAATTTGTTGCTGTTGTTAGCTGCAATAAAGTCACCCTACCCCCATTCCTATGAACAACAGGATCAGAACATTTGGATCCATAGGGCTTTTTTCACCGGCTGATTTTTCAGATGTGCATCACCAGGCCTTTCTCAGTCTGTCTTAGTCTGGGAGCTCTGCCCACCTGTTCAGCATCCCAGCAACACTTGAGGCTCTACTGACAGATGGATGGTGGTTAAAGTGCACTGGCCAGGAATTGTACCTGGTCCTTTCTCATGCTGTTATTGTTGTTGTTAAGTGCCATTGAGTTGGTTCTGACTCATAACAACCATGTATAGGGTGCCCGAGGAGCAACTCATGCATTTGAACACTGACATTGTAGTTAGCAGTCCAGTGCTTACCTCAGAGCTCCACACCAGGACTCCCTCATGGAAGGCAAGAATTCTACCACTGCCCCACTCTAAATTATTATTGTTGTTGTTGTTAGATGCCAATGAGTCAGTACCAACTCACAGCAACCTGATGCACAACAGAATGAAACACTGTCTGGTCCTGCACCAACCTCAAATTTTTGCTACGTTTGAGCCCATTGCTGCTGCCACTGTGCCAATCCATCTCACTGAGAGTCTTCCCTTTTTCTCCAACTTTCCACTTCACCAAACATGATATCCTTCTCCAGAGACTGGTCCCTCCTGATAACATGTCTGAAATATGAGAAATGATGTCTCGCCATCCTGGCTTCCAAGGAGCAGTCTGGTCGTATTTTCTTCCAATGCAGATTTGTTTGTTCTATTGGCAGTCCATGGTACTTTTAATATTCTTTTCCAACACCATAACTCAAATGCATCAATTGTTTTATGGTCTTCTTTATTCACTGTCCAACTTTCACATGCATTTGAGGTTATTGAAAATACCATGGCTTGGGTCAGGTGCACCATACTCAAAGAGCAATCTTTGCTCTTCGACATTTTAAAGAGATCTTGTGCAAAATGCAATACATTATTTAATTTTTTGACAGCTGCTTCTATGGGTGTTGATGTCTGATCCAAGCAAAATGAAGTCTTTAACAATCTTTTTTCCATTGATATGGATGTTGTTTATTGGTCTAGTGGTGAGGATTTTTGTTTTCTTTATATTGAAATGCAATTCTTTACATTGAAATGCTGTGCTCTTTGATCTTCATCAGTAAGTATTTTAAGTCTTCTTCACTTTCAGCAAGCAATGTTGTATCATTTGCATATCACAGGTTGTTAATGAGTCTTCCTCCAATCCTGATGCCACTTTTTTCTACATATAATCCAGTTTCTCTGAATATGTGCTCAGCATACAGATTAAATAAATATGGTGAAAGAATACAACCCTGGCACACACTTTTGCTAGTTTTAAACCATTCAGTGTTCCCTTGTTCTGTTCAAACAACTGCCTTTTGGTCTACGTACAGGTTCCTCATAAGCAGAATAATGTGTTCTGGAATACTCATTCTCCGCAATGTTTTCCATAGCTTGTCATGATCCACATAATTGAAAGCCCTTTGCATAGTCAATAAAGCACAAGTAAACATCTTTCTGGTATTTTCTGCTTTCAGCCAAGATCCATCTGATGTCAGCAGTGATAGCCCTCATTCCACATCATCTTCTGAATCTGACTTGAACCTCTGGCAGTTCTCTGTCAATGTATGTTGTTGTTGTTGTTGTTATGTGCCGTGGAGTCAGTTCCGACTCATAGGGACCCTGTACAGGGTTTCCGAGGCTGTAAATCTTTACAGGAGCAGAAAATCCCATCTTTCTCCCGTGGAGCAGCTGGTAGTTTCAAACTGCTGACCTTGCGGTTCACAGCCCGATTCATAACCACTACGCTACCAGATATAGTTTGGATTATCTTTAACAAATCTTATATGAGATATTAAAAATAATGTCCGTTGACTTCTGTATTCCATTGGGTCACCTATCTTTGGAATGGACACAAATACGGATCTCTTCCAGTCAGTTGGCCAGGTACTGTCTTCCAGATTTTTTGGCATAGATGAGTGAGTGTCTCCAGTGCTTCATCAGTTTGTTGAAAGAATACAATTTGTATTCCATCAATTCTTTGTGCCTTGTTCTTTGCCAATTCTTTCAATGCACCTTCATCATCATTGACTATTGATCAGATGCTTCCTCTTAAATGGTTGAATGAAGGAGCTCTGGTAGCATAGTGGTTACAAGTCGGGCTGTGAACCTCAAGGTCAGTAGTTCAAAACCACCAGCCGTTCCACGGGAGAAAGATGAGGCTTTCTGTTCCTGTAAAGATTTACAGCCTCAGAAACCCCGTACAGGATTGCTATGAGTCAGCCACGGCACATAACCACCACCAAATGGTTGAATATTGACCACTTCCTTTTAGTACAGTGACGCTATGCATTTCTTCCACCTTCTTAATGATGCTTAATGATGCTTTCTGCATCATTCAATATTTTTCTCACAGAATCCTTCAATATTGCAAGTTGAGACTTGAATATGTTCTTCAGTTCCCTCAGCTTGAGAAATGCTACGTGTGTTCTTCCCTTTTTGTTTTCTAACTCTCGGTCTTTGCACATTTTGCTATAATACTTGACTTTGTCTTCTTGAGCTGACCTTTGAAATTTTCTATTTAGCTTTTTGCCTCCTCATTTCTTTCATTTGCTTTAGTATCTCTATGCCAAAGAGCAAGTTTCAGAGTCTCTTCTGACATCCATTTTGGTCTTTCCCTTCTTTCTTGTCTTCTTAATGACCTTTTGCTTTCTTCTTGTATGACTTTGTTGATCCATAACTCTTCTGGTCTTTGATCTTTAGTGTTTGATGCATCAAATATGTTCTTCAGATGATCTCTAAATTCAGGGGGTATGTATTTATGGTTGTATTTTGGCTCTGTTGGACTTGTTTTACATTTTCTTCAGCTCAGCCTGAACTTGCATAGAACAATTCTTGGTCTGTTCCACAGTCTGCCCCTGGCCCTGTTTTGGCTGATGATTTGGAGCTTTTCTATGGTCTCTTTCTATAGATGTAGTCAATTTGATTTCTGTATATTCAATCTAGTAAGTTGTCTTTTATGTTGTTTAAAAAAGGTATTTGCAATGAACCGGTCATTGGTCTTGCAAAATTCTATCATGTGATCTCCAGCATCATTTCTATCACCAAGACCATATTTTTTCCAACTGCTGATCCTTCTTTTTTGTTTCCAACTTTTACATTCCAATCACCTATAATTATCAATACATCTTGATTGCATGTTTGATCAATTTCAGAATTCTTCAGTTTCATCATCACTGGCTTTAGTGGCTATTGGATAAATTGGAATAATCATGGTATTAACTGGGCTTCCTTGTAGGCATATGGATATCACATGCGTCGCACCTCAAAACATATCTTGGTATGTTCTTTTTGATGATGAATGCGACACCATTCTTAATATGGCATTCAAGACATAGTAAACCATGTGATTATCAGATTCAGAATCACTAATACCAGTCCATTTAAGCTTACTAATGCCTAAAATATCTATGTGTATGCATTCCTTTTTGTGTTTGACAATTTACAATTTTCCTAAGTTCATACTTTGTACATTCCATGTTTTGATTATTAATGGATGTTTACAGCTGTTTCTCTTCATTTTGAGTTGTACCCAATCGGCCAATGAAGGTCCCAAAGGCTTTCCTCCATTCGTGGCATCGCAGTCAACTCTACTTTGAGAAGGCAGCTCTTGTCCAGTGCATTTTGAATGCCTTCCAACCTGAAGGGCTTATTTTCCAGCACTATATCTGACAATATTCAGGTGCTATCTGACCCACTGCTATTCATAAGGTTTTCAGTGACTAATAGTCAGACGTAGTCCTTCTCTCCTTCTTCCTAGTCTGTCTTCATCTGGAAGCTCATCTGAAACCTGTCTACCATGGTTGACCCTGCTGGTATTTAAAATACTTGTGGCATAGCTTCCAGAATCACAGCAACACGTAAGCCACCACAGTACGGCAAACTGACAGGCGAATGGTGGCCCTTCTAAATAGAGGACTTAATTTTTAAATATTGAAAAAATCATTTTATATTAGTAAGCCAAGTTATATATTAATATTCCCTGGTACCGTAGTAGATGGTCTCCTGGTATGGCGCTGTCAGATCAGCACTGGGCTGTGAACCACAAGGTTGGCAGTTGAAACCTATACAAGGCCACTATGCTGCTCCTTAGAAAACCTATACAAGGCCACTATGAATTGAAACTGATTCATTGGCACTTAACAACAACAATCAAAGCATAGTGGATTACTAGCTGGGCTGCTAACCACAAGGTCAGTAGTTCAAATCTACCAGCTGCTCTGAGGGAGAAAGATGAGGCCTTTCTGCTCTCTTAAAGGAAACCCTATACAAGGTTATATGAGTCAGAACCGACTCAACAGTGCACAACTACCACCACTACATTTAACATTTTTGAAGTGATAATATTTCATTATTATCTCTAATATAAAAGTTCAAGGAAGAATGAATCTTGATTTCCCCCCCTCATCTTCCAAGAGTTCTACATAGTGAGGTTATTAAACACAAGAGGATAAGCAACACGTGGTTTATAAAAATGGAATTTCTGCTCTATAAACCTTCACTCAATTGACAATCAAAAGTGAAAAAAAATTAAATGGAATTGGTTTCTGATTGTCCTAGATGACCTACCTAGGCAGGGAGGGACTGGTCATCGAGACTGCTTTAACCCCTGGAAGTCGCTGTCTAGAAAGCATGAGTGGAATCACAGTCTCAAGGCAAAGAACAGGACAGGCCAGATGTTAAAATAAATTGTAGTAGTTTCTGGGATCAGCTACATATTTGGTACCTAGAAAACGTATTAGAGATAAGGATAAGGAAGTGCCATTAACTTCTGGGCTGGTAGCATAGAGCTCCAAATTAATTGTCACCATTAGAATCCTACTCATATAGGGCTCATTGTTGTTAAGGGCCCTCGAGTTGGTTCCGACTCATAACGATGAGCAGCTGGTGGGTTTGAACCGCCAATCTTGTGATTCAAATCGAATTTGCAGTCTACTACATTCTCCTGCTGGCAACACCAGGACTCATAGGGGAATTTAAAAAAACAAAAAGCCTGAGACTCCTGGGCCAAAGGTTCTAGAAACTAGGACACCAAGTCTTCTTTTAGCTTTTTTTAGTTTTGAATCTGTCTTGTAATTAGATCTGCGATCAATCATTGACTCATTCCACTGCAGTAGTGTACATTGGAGAAGTGAACTTTTAGATGTGAAGAAAACTGTTCCTTTTTCCCTTTGGGGAGTTCTATTGTGACCCTTCACTTCTTTCCCACACTCTCCCCACCCAGGGTAAAAAAATGTCCATTTGCACTGACAATGTCACTGACCTTCGGATTCCTGAGGGTGAGTCAGATTTCTCCAAATCCATCACAGCCTATGCCTGCCAGGTGGTCATCATCCCCCCAGAGGTGACAGGCTACAAGGCAGGGGTGTCCTCGCAGCCTGTCAGCCTTGCTGACCGACTCATTGGTGAGTAATCCAGTGCCCTAGCCTTGTTTGAGAGAATGTGTGAGAGAAAGAGGTGATAAGGCTATAAGGTAAAACCCCAAAGGAGGAGCCCAACTTCTTGAACTCTGTTTTTCTGCCCTACCCGGAATGCCAAGTGCCCCTGGGTCTGACAGACACCTCGTGGAATTGTGATGAGATGAAGTGAGATTGGATGTTGACAGATAATGGAAGAATCTAAGTGTTTGCCAGCTAATATGACCAGTGAGAACTAAATAGGAGCTCTAATTTGGCAGGGGTGACAACAGATATGACTCTGGATGGAATCACCTCCCCAGCTGAACTTTTTCCCCCGGAGTCCTTGGGAATACCGGACGTGATCTTCTTTTATAGGTGAAGATGAGAGGCTAACACAAGGGAAACATAGGGCTCCTCTACAGTTTTGGTTGCATCCCTACCTAACTCCCTTAGACATGTCTGAGTCTAGCAGATCAACCCAACAATGATAGGTAAAGGTTGGGAGTTCCCTAACCCCAACTTCTTGGGTTTAACCTGGGCAGTTCTTTCCTGGAGGCAGGGACAAATCCTGAATGATCTGTGGCAGACTTCCTTCCAGCCTAAGGAGGGTCCCATGTTGTGCACATGCTGCTTGGACCTCCATGATCCCCATTGTGTCCATGTGTGAACTGAAACCTATGCATTCCCTGTGTGTCAGGCTTCAGCCCAAGGCCAACTTCTCCAGTAAGGGAATTGTTCTATGATGACTTCACTTAGTGGCTCCTCACTATCCCAGCTAAGTGCCTCGTTCCCCCTCCCCACTCCTCCCACGGGGGATGGCTTTCTCTGCAGGTCCAATGATGTGACCCAGTCCTGTAGTTCTGGGAGATCAACCACCATCCGTGTCAGATGCAATCCACTGAAAACTGTCCCTGGAAGTCTGTCACTGCCAAAGTAAGACATACTAAAGAATGTCATAAAGACCAAAGTTTCCCTTCCTGGGACTCATTCCCTCACAGGATCCAAAGATTATTGAAAAAGAACAAAAGAGAAGACTGTTAGAGATACACAAATGGGCTCTTGGGAGCACAGTCATGGCCTCAATCTTCAGAGGGCAAGAGTGAGACAGAAGGAGAAGTCAATACCCCAGCCCCCACATTCCCAGATCACTATGGGGGCAATTGGGGAGGGCTGTGATCCATGTTGTCACCCTAGAGCCTTCCCTCCAAGGCCTTCAGTGAAGGATGTATAGAGGAGTGATCATAGGGGTTACCAGAGGGCACTCTCTCATCTTTCCTCATGATGCCTGGAAACTGGGGCCACAACTACTGTGCCCAGATGGCTTAGGGATACAAGAAATTACTGAGCGTCTCCTTCTCCAGCTTCCTCCTTGAATTAAAGGTTGAAGCTTGGTATGTTGCAATGAGCTTAGGCTTTGGAATCAGAAAGAACTGGCCTAGAATTCTGGCTTTGCCAACTACGAAGCTAGGTGACCCTAGACTGCTCAGTCTCTTTGAGTGTCCGTTTCCTCACCCATAAAATGTCAGTCATATTTTCCTTATAGCACTCAAGTGTAGTATAGTGACTATCAGCTCAGGCTGAGAGCCAGGTTTGAATCAACTCCTCCACTTACTAGCTGTGTTACCATGGATAAATTCCTTACCTTCTCTGTGCCTCTTTTTTCTTATCTGTAAAATGGGGATGGTAATAAGTTCCCCCAGAGGGATTTCATGAGGATTAAGGAGACTTTATTGCTTTTCATAGTGTCTAGCTTGTACTGACTATGATTGTTGTTTTTGTTAAGTGCCATCGAGTCGGTTGCAACCCACAGCAACCCTGCATAGGGTTTCCAAGGAGCGATTGGTGAGCTTGAACCACCGATCTTTTGCAGTTCAAACAAACTTTGCAGTCCAGCACATTGACCCACAGCACCATACTGGTGGTTGGTGGTTATATGCCATGGAGTCAGTTCTGACTTATAGCAACCCTGTATAGGGTTTCTGAGGCTGTAAATCTTTACGGAAGCAGAAAGCCTCAACTTTCTTCTGTGGAACAGCTGGTAGTTTCAAACTGCTGACCTTGCAGTTCACAGCCCGATTTGTAACCACTATGCTACCAGAGCTCCTTACTAGGATGAATGAAAAATTTAGGGGTCCTAGGAGGCTCTCCACAACTAAAAGACCCAGTTCTGAGTTTATAAGCTGAGAATACTAAGTCAAAAATTTCTGAACTTCTTTTATCCCAGACTCCTTGCCCCTTTCCTTTTCTTCCACATAGTATCAAGTAACATTTTGAGGGACACTAGTGTCCTGAGGTAGACAGTTTGGGAAATGCCTCTCCCAAACAACAGCTGGTTGGGGGAATGAACCGGTAGCAAAGCACAACAAAATGTCCAAAAGGTATCACCGTTCTTATTGTTTTCATCATCACCAGTAATGTACATAACAGATATCCCATGATCCGAAGTTCATTCCCAAACCCCACCTCAATCCCAAATCCCACTCCAGGAAGATACAATAAAGTGGCCATTTCCAAGTGTCACATGTCCAAGGGGAGAAGATGAGGGCTTGGCTGGGGCAGCAATACACCTTGATTCAGTTCTTATCTGAGGTGAGCAGAGTGGAAAGCCCAGTGGATGCCAGAGATACCTCACCACCAGGGCAACCAGACATCAAAACCTATCTTACGGAGTAGTGGAAAGGATGCTGGTGGGGCTAACCACTGTTTTGTGAGGGAGAGAGTGAGTCAGGCAAGTTATGAGGTGACAAGACTCCAACCGGATCATGTCAATCAGTGCAGCAAATACATGCTCACTTCTCCTTTCTGTTTTGCTAGCACGTGCTCGGATGGGACCTGTGATGGATGTAACTTCCACTTCCTGTGGGAGAGTGCAGCAGCTTGTCCCCTCTGCTCTACCACTGACTACCATGCCATCGTCAGCAGCTGTGTGGCTGGGATCCAGGTAGACGTCTTTCTGATTTAGGGCTTGCTCCAGAGCAAAAGGGAGAGTAATAATTGAGTTTCTTGGTTTTCTCCCTAACAGAAGACCACGTACGTGTGGCGAGAACCGAAGCTGTGCTCGGGCGGCATCTCCCTGCCTGAGCAGAGAGTCACCATCTGCAAAACAATCGACTTCTGGCTGAAAGTGGGCATCTCTGCCGGCACCTGTACTGCCATCCTGCTCACTGTCCTCACCTGCTACTTCTGGAAAAAGAATCAAAAGTACATGGTTGGGTATTGGAGTTTGGAGATGCATACAGTTAGGTCACTGAGGTGGGAGGAGAACCAAGCCCCCTGCTGTTGAGTCAATCCCAACTCTTGGCAGCCCCGTAGGACAGTTTAGGACAGCCTTAGAAAGTTCCCAAGGGTGCCATCTACATGGGAGAAGACTGCTACATCTTTCTTCCTCGGGTGAAGAACATCCAGGAATATAGCTTTCTAGGACTTTTCTCTGGACTTGGCCATCAACTCTGCCTCTGACCATTTTATCTGGTGTATGTGTTGATTAGAGTCCTGGTATGGCACTGTGGGATAATGCACTGGACTGCAGGGTCGGTTTGAACCGCATTGTCGGTGGTTCAAACTCACCAGCTGCTCCATGGAAACCCTATACAGGGTCACTATGAGTCAGAACCAACTCAATGGCACTTAACAACAATAATAACATGTGTTGATTACCCAGAATCCTAAACAGGGACAGTACCCTGTTGGCAGTGTCCAAAGAACTATTAGATTATCAAAAGTAAAAAACATTAAGCTGTTGTTATTGGTAACAAAAATAATAATGTTATGATTACACTCCATATGATAAGCACTGAACTGCAATCCACAAGATTGGTAGTTTGAGCCTGCCAGCAGCTCTGTGGGGAAAAAAATAAGGCTTTCTGCACCCGCAAAGACTTAAAGCCTCAGAAACCTTATCCAGGGTCACAGTGAGTCAGAACCAACTCAAAGGCACTTAACAATAACAACAACAATTTCTATTAAGCTTTGATACCACAGAAACAGCCAAACTTAAGGAAGAAAAGAAAAAGAAGAAAAGGGGCCCACTGAACAGGAAGCCTGTTTTTCTTAGTCATTTCCAGCCCCAACACTGTTTTGCGATGCCTCCGTTTCCTTACTCATGGCATGGGACTGTTTATAGGCCAACTGCCCTTCCTCTACCCTGCCCCACCTGATTCCCACCTTCAGGTGTTTTATCTTCCCCTACGCTCTGTTTCATAGACTAGAGTACAAATACTCCAAGCTGGTGATGAATGCTACCCTCAAGGACTGTGACCTGCCAGCGGCTGACAGCTGTGCCATCATGGAAGGCGAGGACGTAGAGGATGACCTCATCTTTACCAGCAAGAAGTCACTCTTTGGGAAAATCAAATCATTTACCTCCAAGGTAGGGAACATGGCTAGTGCACTGAGGTCAGTCTGGAGGGCTGGAGAAGACACCTGTCACTCCCAGGAGAGAGAACGGCCCTGCACTGTTCAGGGACCACTTTACTCTGTGATCCCCTCACAGCCCCCCCAGCCCCCGCTGTGAGCTACTGTCCCCAAACCCTGGAAGTCCTATCTTTTGCCTTCTGTATTTCCACGCTAATCCTCTTCCCCTCATGGGGCCCCAGGCTGCTCTTGACCAGGCTCCTTCTCTCCCAACATGCACTCCAGTTGATGGACTGTTTGGGCCTTTTAACTTCCAGAAGGAGTATTGAACCAATCCATGTTGTAAGAATCATTTCCCTTTTTTTGGAGGGGTCGGGAGGGAAAGGTGGTCTCTAGGATCAACTTTTGATAGAAGCAAGGCTATCCCTTGGCCAGTGGAGGGTGCTATCCCCCAGGTGTCTGAACCAGGTCCTTTGGGGGCGGTTGAGTCATAACTAAGTCACAGGTGCTCATCACAGAACAAGTCTGTGCTGGAGCATTGTTCTGCGTGGGTGAGTGAATGAGTGAATGAGTTTGAAGCTCATAAATGCAGTATAGACAACTCTGCTGTTGGGCATGGAGCCAGCAGAGAGCATCCAAGCCACTCATCAGGGCTCCAGCCTTCTGCAGCTCCACTTTGCTGGTGGCCTTAGCTCCCTGCTGCCCAGAACCAGTTCATCCAAATAGATGTGGGCTGGAAAGGTGTAAGACCAGAGGAGTGGACTGGAGGGGTGGTAAGGGAAAGAAGGCAGTGAGGTGTTTACATTGCTGAATCTCATTCCCTTTGTGCTGGCCTGCAGGGTAACTCCCTTGCCATCTTAGCCCTTGATTTTTGACCAATGAATCATTCACTCTGAGACCCTTGATTAGTCGAGGGCTTCTAGACTCAAGATACAAGGCCAGGGGTTTCTAACCTTTACTAGATTTTTCTTAGTCTATGACTGACTGTGAAGGGCTCAAGAAGAGGAGCAGAGATGTGGAATCATGTCTGCATTTCCACAAAGCCACTGAAGATGGGGGATTCAATAAGGGTCCCTTCTGTCACCTCTTTTCCCATTTCTTTCCTTTGTTCTCCAAACCTGCCCATGCCCAGATACCAGCTCCTGTTACCGTCTGTCTTTCAGAGGACTCCTGATGGGTTTGACTCGGTGCCACTGAAGACATCATCAGGAGGCCCAGACATGGACCTGTGAGAGGCCCTGCCCTGCCTCGCCTGCCTTGTTACTTGGCACATCACCTTGCAAACCTGTGGCGATTTGGGTGTTAGCCTTCTGCAACATCCACTGCTGGAGATTTCTTCATTGTGGCCTTATCTGGAGAAGTTTGAATCTCAGATCTTTGAGTTTTGTTTTTGTTTTTTATAGAGTACCTAAACCCTGCTTGCCCTGAACCTGTCAAATATATCTCTACCGTTTATTTGTATATTACTCCCTGGCTTGTATCTTGTTTGACCTTCGTGGTCCTCCTGCCTCTGGGGCTTCATCTGCCTATAATTCTTACAGCCCTAAGCTATTTCTTTTGCCCTCTTATGTAAGAGCAGAAACAGTGGAGAGTTTTCCTGACGAGAAATCCTTAGTTCATGCTCTCTTTAGGAGAGAGGGTGGGTAAGAAGCGTACAGGAGTTCTTCAGGGAAATCTTGATTCATTTCTCCTGGAAAACCAATTCAAATCTCCGTGTGAAGCCTAGGCTTAGGGCAAGGTAAGTAAGACCTGGGTAAGAAAAGTCTTCTGAGGCACAAAGAGAAGAAAGAAGGAAGGACATTTCTTTAACTTTGTTTTCAAATCAGGTATCTCATTCCCTTTTCTTAATCAAGAGATAAGTATTTTCACTGAAGGAAAAGGTTCATTGAGAAAATGACTCAACACCCTGGTTGACCTATTCCCTATGCTTGTTACCTCCCCTCATCTCCCTATGACCTACTTCCTAGCCTTTTCCTCTATTGCTTTCACCCATAGTGATGGCAATCCCTTGCCAGTGGGAAAAATTCCCTATCTTGAGTGCCCGGGTCCCAGAGGTTTGGGTTATGCCAGGCAATGGTTGTATCTTCTTTGGAAATAACACAAGGAGGCCATGGTTTTTATGGGGCTATCTTGGGGGAAGACAGCCCACCATGGACCTGAGGTAGCATGATGCCTGCTTCTAAGGATGACTCATCTGCTCAACCACAGAAGAAGCAATGTTGAGAATGGTCAAGGAGTCTTTTGGTGATGCAAACAATTAATATTCTTCTTTTTTTTAAATGTTTTATTGTGAATTATGTGATAGTTTACATGGGAGAACATTAGCTTTACATTCATCCTATCATATATCATTTCATTGCCATGGTTACAATCCCTTCCATGCATCATCAACCAACCAAAGGGTATACCCTGCAAGCCTGCCCCTTGGTCTTCAGCACACAGCCCCTCTCCCTCTCCTGGTCTAGAGTCCCCAATCTCTCCATCTCTCCACATCATTGTCTCTGCCTCCATCTCTGGCTTCACTGCTTCTCTGGGTAGGGCCCCACACTCTGCTCATCTCCCTTGATGGTCCCAGGGACCTCTGCTCCTCGATTGCAAAGTCAACCACTCCCCTCCTTTTGCTGCAAAATGTCTACCTTTACATTTCCAACCCTCACAGTCAGTTCTGATAACAATTATTCACTATTGTACCAAATGAGTGCTATCCCCATCTTCTTTCATCAGTCCTGCCCAGACAGATTGGATACTACTCAGTGGAGATTCTACCTTCCTCTATGCCCTCACAATGAATATTCTTGACTTTTTTGACTGAAGGATTGAAGGTTTGAGTTCACCCTTAGGCACTTTGAAAGAAAGTCCTGTGATCTACTTCTAAAATATCAGTTAGTAAAAACTCTGTGGACAGAGTTGACAGGGATAGGCAACTTAGACATTGGCTACCCAAAATAGGGGAGCCTATAAAGGCAAGAAGTGACTGGCTTACAAGCTTTCAAGAGGGAGTCTAGTTTCAGATGGGGTGGGGGAAGATAGAATCACCACTGAATGATTTCCAGTCCTAGGACCGAGCTGGCAAAAGGAAATGGGGATAAGACTCTTGTGGTACAATAGTGAATAATTGCCATCAGGACTGACTGTGAGGTTAGGAAATATAGAGGTAGATGTTTTTTGACAAAAGGAGGAGAGTGATTGATTTTGCAGCCCAGGAGCCAAGGTCCCTGGGACCATCAAATGAGAAGAACCGAGAGTGGGACCCTACCCAGAGAGGCAGTGACGCCAGGGATGGAGACAGAGAAGATGAGGTGGATAGATGGGACGACTGGAGACACTGGACTCAGGTAGGGAGAGGGGCTGTGTGCTGGCAGCCAGGGGGCAGGCTTGTGTGGTTTACCCTTTGGTTATTTAATGATGCATGGAGGGGATTGTAATCATTGCAATGAAATGAAATACGATAGGATGAGTGTAGAGCTGATGTTCTCCCATGTAAACCTCACAATAAAAACTAAAAAAACCCCACAAACACTCTGTGGAGCACAGCTCTGTGACACATGTGGGGTTACCATGAGTCAAGTTAGCTCAATGGGAACTGGTTTGTTTTTTTTTTCAGAATAGCCACACACACACAAAAATTGAACCCCAGACCCCACATCCCAGCAGCAAAACCAAATCAGATTAAAGTTGCCTAACAAGGTGTTCACCAAACTGGACTACTTCTCACTTTGAAGCCCTATCCTCTCTTTCTTCCCATTCCCATTTCCTTCATGTGGGAAAAATAAATAAATAAAAATTAAGACTTCTGGCAGCATCCCCTTTGAAAGGTAAGTAGAATTCGATGTTCTCTGTGTCCCCTTGAGCTACGTTTACACCAAATATCATCAGGGAATTTAAATAAGTAGAACGGCAAAATCAGAGCAAGAGTTTAAATGGTATTTTCCTTTTACTACAGGGGATTCTTATCTTTGTTTTTCACTCTCAGGCTGAAAAGACCATTCCTTGGTCAAGGTCCCAGTTGCCTATGAGTTGTGACTGTACCCTTCCTCCAGTGGCCGTTTGGTAGCCAGGTGATAGGTATAAAGTGGAAATGGCATACTGAAGTGGTCTACCTGCCACTTGTGAGTTACCACTGCTGCCCTGACAATGGTCTTATCAAAGGATCAATGAGAACTGGATCCCTACTCTGAGGTCTGGACACTAACAGTTAGTCCCTTTGGGTCAAGAAAACCAAAAGCATTTTCCTTGGGTGCTCAGATCCACTCTCTTTTTGTCAGGCTCTCAGAAGCTGTGGCCATGTTGGAATTTCTCTCAATAAGTGCAGATATCTAGCTCCTGAATTCCAATCTAAAGTCTTCAGTAGTTTTACCAATACCCTGGGCATCTGCTTTTCACTGAATAACCTTCTTTTGTGATAAATGGCACAGAAGATTCTCAGATTATTCAGGAAGCAACAGGAAAAAGTACATCCCTTTTGGACTTCTTTACTCTGAGGAATTTGAAACTGAGTGTTCCCAGAGCAACTTCAAACTCCAATAATCTAGTAATAATACTTTAAAAATCTTCTTAAGTGTTTCTGCTTTTACAGGTCCTCTCTGTGACCTGCCAGCAACTCGAATTACTAGGGATCACATGTTGCTCCCTAGCAATTTAGACATGTATGGTATTTTTAACAGCTGTATTGATATATGCTTCTTATAACATGCATTTCACTTAATTAAAATATACAGTTCAATGACTTTTAGTATATTCACAAAGTTGTACATCTACCACCACAATCTATTTTAGATTTTAGATGGGAGAAAGAAAGTCTTTTATTCCTTAAACCAGGGCTATAGTGGTTTGCACAAGCAGTTTGGGGAAGTAGTATGGGCTTAGGAGATCAAAATGTAAAATCCCATTTAGTTACCTAGAGTCCTAGGACATATCACCTGTGTTTGACTAGGGACATAAATACAGATGGGAGTATTCGAGGACCAGGAGCATTCTTATGTCAACAAAACTTTTTTTTTTTTAACTTTTTAAATCTAACTCTATGTTAAAGATAAGACTAACTATATTTATACAAAAGAGACTTTGTAATGGATTTTACAGCTTTGTGAAACCAAATTTTTGTCTCATCAAAACTAGTTGGATTTCCTTTTCACTCTGTATTTTAAGAGTCTGGAGTTTGTTAGGGGGCAGGTATTGAATGCCACTTTTTCTGTTGAAATAAAAGCACACTTTCAAGTTGTTTTTTCTTAAATATGGGGTGGATGGATGGATAAGTGAGTAGGAAAAGTATCCTTGAAGCCTGAGCTGAATTCTGGATTTTGGATCCCCAGAGTGACAAAGAGGAAAGAACACAAACTTTGGAGCAAGACAGACCTAGTCTAGAAGTCAATTTCTCACCACCTGTTTAGGAATTAGCCAAAAGGCTGGAGGTTTGATCCCACCCAAATGTACCTCAAAAGAAAGGCCTGGCGATCAACCTCCAAAAAATCAGTCATTGAAAACCCTATGGAGCACAGTGCTATTCGGACACACATGGGGTCGTCATGAGTCAGAGTCGAGTCAACAGTAACTGGTTTAATATCTTATCTCCCAAGACTGGGTAAGGATCAAAAGAGATAGCATGTAAGATACTTAGCAAGTTAGTTCTTCCTTTTTCCAGTTCAGTTTTCTCTCTTGGGCAGTACTGAAGCCAGCTATATAACGAATGCAAGTGCAATTAGCTTGTTTGGGGGTGATGTGGATGGTTGGATGTGGATAAAATCCTGGGTGGCATCAAGGAGCCACCATTTCCCCTGGCAGCTGGATTTTCCTGCTCCAGTACTTTCCTTACTCTAGCTGACAGTACGTGATCTCCCAAAAAGAATTCCCTCACATTAGATGAGTTTGAGACATTAAGGACATTCCCATCCTTTTTCTAGCACATCTCTGAGGGCACTCAAATGTGCAAAAGCCTTTCTTGGGTCCTTAGTGCTGCCAGGCAGAAATGATGACCTTCGGGTGCCCAGCTGTACCCCACGATGGTTGTTTCTGATTCACTTCTGCTTTGTATGGAGGTGCCTGGCTTGTACTGGTAGTTACATATTTTGAGTCCTGTCACTGCTTAGAGGATAGAGTTGTACTATAAGATAAGCACTAGACTGCTAACCATGAGGTCGGTGGTTCAAACCTACCAGCTGTTCCTCAGAAACCCTATACAGGGTCACTATGAGTCAGAGCCAACTGGATTGCACTCAACAATAATAACTGCTTATAGGATAAAGTCTAAAGTCTGAGAAGTAAAGCAGGAAAGGAAACTAGCATTAATCAGCATCTCTGTGTGTCAGTTCCATAGACATCGCTTCCCTTAGTCCTTAGAATAGGCCTCACCAGCACACCCACGCCCATCAAGCTGATTTGGATTCAT